CCAGGAGGGACAGTGCCCTCCGGCCCCCGCCCGGCCTGGGAGGAGGGGCTGTCCTGCCCCGCAGCCGGGGCTGCTCAGCCTGGACGCCCTCAGGAAGAGGCTGAGACGAGTTACCAGGCCAGGGCGGAGTGCAGGCTGCTGTTCTTTTACCCAAGACGGAGCCAAAGGCCACAGGTCAGCCCGGCTCATCCAGGGCCGGGCAGATGGCCTGCGCCGAACCAAACCAAGAGGGACCGAGGGGCAGAAGCAAGGGCTGGCTTCCAGGACGCTGGGGCTCATGCTTGTTCACTACGGGCTTTGCAGGCGTTCCCTATGGGCAGGCAGAGCAGTGACAAGGGCAGTACCAGGAGTGGGGGCGGGGGGTGGGTGCTGGTCCCGGAGGGAGGGCTCCCGGAGGAGGAGACATTGAGATGAGGCCTCTTGGAGAGATTTTACCAAAATCTGAAGCCTGAGCCAGGACAGGCCATTCATAGGAGAAAAGCTGCTGCAAACAGCTTGGGTGGGGCTGCAAATTGGGTGGTGCAGGGGTCTCCGGGAATCCCCAGGGTGGAGCAAACGGTGTGCTCCGGGCTGATTCACACTCAGACGTGGCTGCCAGTCAGCCCTGCAACAGGGGAGGTCCCCGCACGGGAACAGTCACCCTGGCGAGCACCCCTGTCTGGGAGAAAGCCGCCCCCGAGTTCCTGCTCCGATGCCAGACAATCCAGTTCCTCACCTTATTGTATCTGGTCCCCGGCGCTGGAGCTCAGAAGACGTGGGACCGTGTAAGTTTGTGTGCAGGCCCTTTAAGAGGAACACCTGGGATTCCAGCAGCTTCCGTGTCACTCAGCCAAAATCCCGCAGGTTTTTGCTGGGACCCTTTGCTCGGCCCGTTTTGTGCCTCTGCCCTCCTACTAGTCTCAACGTTCTTTCTCCTTCACCTCTCTAGGTGCAGGACTTCCATTCAGCCAGCTTCCAGGCGGTTCTGAACGATGGCTGTTCTGTATTTTAGCTATAATTTTGATGTGGTTGTGGGAGGCGGCAAGTACAGGCGTTTGCCGACGCCACCATCTTCCCAATTCAATCTCTCAAACAAGCTCCAGCTGCTGACAGCGTGCCCCAAACCGATCAATAAAAGGCCCGAGACCCGGCTCTAGCACCAGCTGGCCTTGCTTCACAGCTGGTCCTCACGGCCAATTGGCCTGGGGTCAACTCCTCCCAGAGACACCAACAGCAATCAAGGATCAGCTACAAGACTGTGCACACAGCCCACAGAGGGGCGCACCTAGAGGGCCCAGCTCAGGCGACTGGGGAGGCTGAGCCGCTGGGCCCTGCAGGACACCTACTGCACAAGGCCACTCGACCAATTCCAGGAGACGTAGCTGCTCTACCTAATACATAGAAACAAACACAGGGAAGCCGCCAAAATGCCAAGACAAGGACACATGTCACAAATGAAAGAAATGGAAGCAAGTAAACTACTAGATACGGAGTTCAAAACCACAGTTATAAGGTTACTCAAGGATTTCAGGAGACTTTCAAAGATTGTAGTGAGAATGTCAAAGACATGGAAAAGGACCAATCAGACATTAAGCATTCAAATCCATATCTATCAACAATCGGATCTAAAAATCAAAATAAACAAACAAGAAATCTAATGAACAAAATAAACTGGTGAATAAAACAGAATCAGAGACATGGAAGCATGGGACAGACTGACAATCTCAGAGGGAAGAGGCGAAGGGGGCGGGAAGAGATTGACAAAGATCTTACCTATGGACACAGACAGTAGGGTGGTGAAGGCCTGGGGTGGGGCGGGAACCAGGTGGAGGGGAGCAATGGGGGGGAAAAAGAGGGACCTCTATATTACTCTCAACAATAAAGATTAAAAAACAAAGCAAAAAACCCATGCGGCCTTCAGAGGAGAATAGTGTTCGGGGACTGGGGAGGCTGAGCCACTGGCCCTACAGGACACAAGGCCGCTCTACCAATTCCAGGAGACATGGCAGCTCTACCTAATACACAGAACCAAACACAGGGAAGCCTCCTGTGGGAGCTGGAGAGGCCGAGAGGACGAACAGAGAAATGTGGTTACGAGTTGGCAGGGCTGGAGGCTCTGGGAGGGATGTGCCTTGATCCCGAAGCAACAGGAAGCCACTGGAGGGTTTTATCCAGCAGGCAATGATCTTGGATTAAAATATTCTGGTAGCCGAGTCGTTTGGAATGGCTGAGGTCAGAGGAAGGGAAGCCATGAGGGAGCTGCGGGCCTCCACCGGGGAAGCAGCAGCAAGGCAGGCCAGTGGTGGGGTTGTAAAGACGCTGAGAAGGTAGTGCCAACAGGGTGTGGACTGGGCGAGGGGGCGCGGGAAAGCCTGCAGTGGTAGGGGGCACCTGAGGGGGCACCTTCACCAACAGGCGTAGAGGCGAGATGGATGAGCTCAGGGCTGGGCGGGTTGGGCTTTCTTAAAGCGTAGCAGGGGGTGAGGGGGCCCAGGGCCTAAAGACCTTGCTCATTCAGTCAGACACTGGAAAATGTGCCCCCAGAAGAGGCAATCCAAGAGACTGGAGGGGACCCTGGAGCGGGTGGAGCCTCGGGTGCCTGGAGAATTGACGATTTCCTGAAGCAGCTGCTGTCCCCCGAGTTAAATGCTGGGATAGACGGGACCCAGAGAGGAGGAGGGAGGACGGAGAAGGCTCTGCTGCATCCGGCCACAAGGAGGCCCTGCTGGGGTGCTGGGGGCAGCAGTGAGGAGAGGGGCGGGGGGCACGGAGAGGGAGCCAGCGTCCAAGCCTGGCTTGAGGCACAGGTGTCACCATCTGGCTCTTCTCCACGGCAGCCGCCCCTTCCTACATCCACCTTTCCAGATCCTTCCTATGGTGTGAGCCCCCAATCCCGGTCCTCCCGCTCTGCCCATGCCCCTGCCTGGAATCCTGGAAGGCCCGGCCCGGGGTCCCCTGGTGGGACAGACTGCTCCGCCCACAGCACACTTTCCGCAGCCTCCGTCCCAGGAAGACACCTGGGAGTCCTGCAGGTTCTCGGACCCAGCCCGCTCTCCCCTGTGTGTCTGAGGGGGGTGGTGTGTGTGTGTGTGTGTGTGTGTGTGTGTGTGTGCGCGCGCGCAGGACCAGCCTCCTCGCAGGCTCCTGGGGCCTCATCAAACCCCTGCGCAAGAACAGAGCCAGGCCAGGTCATGGAAGCCATTTATTTATTGGTTTGTTTTAAAAATATGCATCTTATTTACACACGAAGTTTGGTGAGAAGTGCTCGGTTAGTTCAGACAACAGCTGGCACCTGACGCGCGTCCCTCCCTCCTTCTTCCTACCCTCTTCTCCCCTCCTGCCGGCCAGTTGTGCAGTTCTAGAAAAAAAAAAAAAAAGAGCCACACTAAAAGCTAAGGAGTCGGGCCTCGCCCGTCCTTGCCCGCGACCACACCGTCCGCAGCTCCTGGCGCTGCCAGCGGCCAGCCCCGGGCACCTGTCTCAGGCTCCGGGCTGGCCACCCAACACCACGGGCTCCTTCCGGCAGCTGGGCTGGCAGCCGGCGCCTCCCCAGCCGCATTCCCGCCCGTGAGTGCAGGGCGGGGGGGAGGGGGGGCGGCAGGCATTCCTCTCCAAGGCTGAGAGCAAAGCACAGAGATCTACAAAAATAAGATTTCCACTGGGAGGAGTGTCACTGGGACAGTTCAAACCTTGTCCCGCGCTGGACTCAGAGGGAGCAGGGGCAGGAGGGAAATCACCAGAGTGGAGTGGGGCTGGGGCTGGGGTGACAAGGAGAATTGTAATACTTGACTCACTGGCAACGCCACCGGCACTGCCATGAGCTCAGAACGTCCAGCCCTCTGACAGCTCGGAGAGGTAGGTTGGGAGCAGCCCGTGTCCGGCTTCCCGGGCGGCCTGTGAGGTTGGATGCCCCGCGGAGGTGGGCGGCCTCGCTGGAGAGCTGGAAGGGGCAGCCCGGCTCCTGCCTGCTCAGGCTCCGCCCACCCGCCCACGCTGTCACTCTCAGGGTGACAGCTCTCCACATGAAAAGATTTGCATATGCTAAATAGGATTGTCAGCAGCTGAAGAGGCCCCTGGGGGGTTACTGGACTAGAAAAAGTGTTTTTCCCTGAAAAGGCCTTCGGAGGAGACCTGCGGGACAGCCTGGACCCTCCCCCAGGAGGTCCTGTGTGCAGGTGCCACCAGGACCCCACGCTGAGCCGGAGGGGCTGGGCCAAGGCCACACTGCTCCCTTCCCAAGGGGTCCCAGCCTGCTCACCCCTGCCTAGGACCCAGGCTGCCCTCCCCACTCCCACGCGGCTGCGTTTGGAGAGAAGCTGGGACCACACAGGAATCACCTCGCCCCCATGGTTAGAGGGAGAAAGTCCGGCAAGAGAACTGGCCATGATAACAGGTTCCCCTCTTCACATGGGCTGAGGGCTGTTGAGCTTCTTAGCCCCAACTCCACGGTGCTCAGCCTTCTGTACCCGGCCTGTGGGCAGGGTCTGCCAGGCTCGGGAGCAAGAACAGCTGGGTGCCAGGCTGCGGGTGGGCCGGCTCCCTCAGGCCCGTCAGTTTTATGTTAATACTCGTACAGAGGCCAAGCTTCAGCCCCCAGGACCAGCCCTGGGACCTCTCTTCCGGAAGCCTTATGCTTTTGTAGAACCGACCCTGCGAGGCTGCTTTTCAGTGTGTCCTACTAGGTCCTGCCTAAAAACACAGGGGAAAGCAGGACCTTGGGGACGATGGAAGGCCGGAGGGAGTCCCTCCCCGTTGCCAAGGCGCCACGTGGGGCTGGGAGGAAAGGTCTGTCTCCTTGGGGCTGGGCTCCCTGGCACTCGTCTGAGAGCAGCTGGTGTGTGGCCTGTGTGTGCACATGTGTGTGAGAAGAGGGGTTCAGCCCTCCTGGTCTACAGCCCGAGTGGCAGGGGACCCCCTTGCTGCAGTGAAGGCCTGTGGGAGCCACACCGATCCCACTGTGGGAGCCACACCGATCCCACTTCTGCGTTGGGAACAGTTCACACCTGCTCAGAGTTTGGAAGAGCAGTGTGAGTTGCTGCCCAGGTCCACGGAAAAAAACGTTAGTTCTTCGCTCAAGTAAAAAAATATCAAATATAATAAATTTATGAAAGCCATTCACAACATATACAGTCTTCGTTTTCTATTTTGCCGCAGCAGCTGGGGTGGGGTTGCTTTTTAGAGCCCCAGGGTGTTGCCTGACCAGACCAGGCCACTGGTATGAGTGGGGGTCTCCAGGGACAGGCCGCCCCAAGTGGTGGGCATGGCCAACTGCTCCCGGCCATCAACGCGGGTGCCATAGAACTCTGCCTTGTCGACCCACGGGGCTGAGGCTCATCTCTCACTCCTGAAGCCCCAAACAAAGAAGGCCCTGCAGGTGCTGGCTTCTGGCTGCACATGGGTTTGCCTCGAGGCAACAGGCTGCCTTTCGGGGTGTCTTGGCCAGCCTGGGCGAGGCTCACACCATAGACTCTCGGTCCCTGTCTGAGGATGCGGGGAAGTCCGCGAGATCTTCACTGCGGCTGTAGTCAGACACCCGCACCTGGAGGTTGTCACTGGTGGCCCTGGTGACACTGTCATAGGAAGGGGGGAAGGATGTGGAAGAGATGGAGGAGCTGGAGGGCGGGCCAAGGCGCTGGGAGAAGTTCTCATTCATCTTGTAGGCGATGAGGCCCTCTTGCTCAGGGGCATCCTCCTCGGAGAGGCCGCTGCTGCCCGCCTGCTGGCGGAAGAGGAAGGAGGCTTGTTTCATGGAGCGCTGCAGCAGGTGCCTCCGGAAGGCCCGCTGGATGATGGTGGCCGACACCTCCTCGTGCTTGCGCCGGAGCGTGGTGGTGATGGGCTCGTAGGAGATCTTGGATGGGTTGGCCGCCATAAACTTCTCCTCCATCTGGATCTTCAGGGCGTCCATCTCCCCGGACTCCCCCAGGACCCTCTTAGTGAAGGCAAAGAGGATGTCCATGCAGTGGATACGGTCCCCACTCACCATGGGCAGGTCCATATTGATCAGGCTGATCTGGTTGGGCTTGGCGATACGCAGCGGCTCAGACAGGGCGTCGGCAAAGTCGGACAGGGCCGTGTACTCAATGAACTGGGTGGCCTCCGGGTCGAACTTCTCCCAGATCTCATAGAACATGTCAAAGTCGTCCTCGCTCAGGGGCTCGGTGCTCTCCTCTGTGGCCACGCTGAAGTTCTCCAGGATGATGGCGATGTACATGTTGACCACGATGAGGAAGGAGATGATGATGTAGGTGGTGAAGAAGAGGATGCCCACGGCTGGGCTCCCACAGTTCCCCCGGGAGCCATTGCTGTTGGGCAGATTGGGGTCGCAGTAGGGGGGCCCCGTGTTGAGGATGGGGTTGAGGAGACCATCCCAGCCAGCCGACGTGGTGATCTGGAAGAGGCACAGCATGCTGTTGGCGAAGGTCTGGAAGTTGAACATGTCGTCGATGCCAGCCTCCCACTTGACGTAAGCGAAGTTGGCCATGCCGAAGATGGAGTAGATGAACATGACGAGGAAGAGCAGCAGCCCGATGTTGAAGAGGGCAGGCAGGGACATCATGAGGGCAAAGAGCAGCGTGCGGATCCCCTTGGCCCCGCGGATCAGCCTGAGGATGCGGCCGATTCGGGCCAGGCGGATGACTCGGAAGAGTGTTGGGGAGAAGAAGTACTTCTGGATGATGTCCGAGAGCACAGTGCCTGTGGGAAACAGCAGAGGCTGTGGCCACCCATGGCCTCTCTGTCCTCCCTCCAGACCAGTGTTGCTGGGTGGGATGCTCCACAGCAAGGGGCAGGGAAGAGGGGGCCCTTCCAAGAGGATTGGGTTAACTGCAAGGCCCTGCTCCCCCCCACCCCGCGTTCCCATGAATCTCCATTTCTGCATATGATCCAGAACGTGAGGACTCACGATTTTTGCAAAGTGCCTTCTCAGCCCCTTTGTTTCTTAGTCTCCTGAGAACACTGCAAAGTAGAGCTGTACTAGGCCTATCATCTAGATCATGGGCTCTGAGTCCTGAGGGGACTTGCTCGGCGTTTTGGTGGCCTCATTTGGGCCAGAACTCAGGCCTTTTACTCAAAGTGTGGTCTGAGGATCAGCAGCCTTGGGATCTCCTGGGCACATATCAGAAATGCAGGACCTCAGCTCTGCCCCAGAACCACTGCATGTGCACAAGCCCAGGAGTGTAAGAGGCACTAGCCTGGAAGTCAGCACTCTCCCCTATGCCATGCCATGCCACTCCATGTCACTCCACGTTACATCTCAGGCTCCCTGAGATGGTTCCCATCATCTTCTCAACTCTACTAGCTTCCAGGGTTTACCCACCCCTTGGTCTCTATTGACTGCTCTGGGCTGGGATTTTTAAGGAGCAGGGACATAACTTATAGGAGAAAGAGTGAAATTGACTTGCCTCATATTGGCCCAAGTGATTTTTCCCAACTCATTATAATAATGATGTCACTGGCTGACATGTGTCCAGTGTTTGCTGTCAATCAAGCACTGAGCTGAGCACTTTAAATCATCCATTAAGCCCTTCCAGTCACCCTAGAAAGTAAGCTGATACCCTAGCCTCATTTTCCAGAAGAGGAAGCTGAGAGGTGAGGTAACTTACCCAACTGGCCACCTAGTCAGTGAGAAGCTGGAATTTGACTCAGACACTCTGGCTCCAAGTTGACCTGTTAGCCGTGCCTCTCCAGCATGGCCAAGCACCGGGACCAGGAGGTGTTCCGAGGTACATGCTGCACCTCCCGAAGACTCTGAGACTGCCCATCATCAGCTCCATCCTACTGCCAATGTCCAGCCCCTCTTGGCATACTCTAGCCCTCACCCCTGCCTGGGACCTCACTGAGCATTTCCTGACCCTTCTCCCAGCTTCTAACCATCTGCCCATCACCACAGCTGCCTTAGCTCCTGCCTTAGCCCCTGCATTTCCCTCAAAGTTCACCAAGTGCTGGGACTGTCCACAGCAGAAAGATGAAAGTCAGTCACTCCAAGGCAGAGTTCCGTGGGGACAGGGTCAAGAGTTCAAGTGTGTGTGTGTGTGTGTGTGTGTGATGGGGGAGAGGTGAGGAATGCAGAGAGAAAAGAATGAAGGAGCCTAAGTGTACTTGGCATTAAGAACAGATCTCAGACTGGAGGAGAGACCTGGCCTGGGGAGGGCATCTCTGTTCAGACAACTGGTATACCCACCCACAATGGAGAGGATGACAACCACGAAGTCGAAGATGTTCCAGCTGTTGGTGAAGTAATAGTGCCGCAGGGCACCCATCTTGATGATACACTCGCCCGTGAAGATGACGACGAAGAGCAGGTTGATCTTCCCCAAGATGTTGATCTTCTCCAAGCTCTGGTCATCTGTCTCCACCATCATGGTCACCATGTTCAAGCAGATGAGAAACATGATGGTGACGTCAAAGGCCTGCTTGGTCACAATGTCGAATACGAAGCCCTGGTACTTGTTCTGAAAGGAGGGGCAAAGGATGGGCTCAGCAGGGATTTTGCAGGCCAGCAGGTCCCCCCTGTTGCTGACTTTGTCCAGATCGCCCACACTCTTAGTCTCCTGTCTGGTGAGGCCAACACCCCACCAGACCGCCACGGTGAGAGGAAGAAGTCAGGAGCTCTGGAACAGCCTGGCCCTCCTGCTGAAGCATATACCTGGGCTCCAAGGCCCAGCCCGAGGCTCCCTCTTCCTTCTCTGATGGATCTTCAGGAAGGAATTTCTCCTACTCTGAGTTTCCTTAGCAGACATTCTTTGAGCTTTTCTTTTTGTTCCCACTGTCTGAAAGCTCAAGGTCAAATTTAAAGGTCAATCCTAGTAATTGTATTAGCCCTCAGGTTAATAAATATTCTCCACTCTTTAAGGAATTGATTTTATTTACTCTTCTAACTATATTTGTGTCTTTGTTTGTAAGTCTCCCCAGATCTCTCTCTCTCTCTCTCTCTCTCTCTCTCTCTCTCTCTCTCTCTCTCTCTCTCTCCCCCACCCACACACGCACAACAGAGTATGGTGAAAAGAATCAGATGAAATTGATGAATTAGATTAAAAAATTGGGGCTGTCACTTACCAGCTGGTGACTTAGGTTATGTCACCTAATTACTTTGAATACTGTCCCGCAACCCTGCTCCAACATACACACACTTTATTGGAGAATGGCTTGGTCAGGCAAGGGAGTCAGCCTATGGAGGACCCAACACGCCTCCTGGCCCCACGCACCAGGGGATCTACCATTCAGGGGTTGTAAGAATGAGGCGATGAATGTGGTGGGGGCTGCAAAGACTGCCCTGCTCTCCCTGGGGAAAGCCTGAGCCCTTGCAGGGGAGGAGGGGCTCACTCAGAGGCAGATGAGCTTCTATAGGAGGGGAGTGTCCCCTGGTTGGCACAGCCTGCTCATGCCTGCCTTATTACCTCTATGAGACTGAGACCTCTGTGTATAGTCAGACGCCTGACTACACTGGACTGGCTGGGGGCCCCAGGCTGGGCCAAAGACCGTGAAGAGGCCATGATAGTTGGCGGTGTAGTATGGGAGCTCCCCAGGCTCCCCCTCCCCAGAAGATCCTTCCCCCTCTTGCCAAATTGGGAGCAGGCTCACCAGAGGCCGGGGGATGGGCTTCTGGGGCTTCTTGGAGCCCAGCTTCTTCATGGCGTTGTAGTACTTCTTCTGCTCCTCTGTCATGAAGATGTCCTGGCCCCCTAAGTGCAGAGAGACAGGCACCAGACTCATTTTGGGGTTCTCAGAGGCTCCAGCACGGACAGTACAGGGATCTTGCTTCAATAATGAGGTGCCAGGACCAGTCACCCCCTCACTTCCTGTCCCTCTAAAGTATGTCACTATCCTGCACCACAGATTGCTCCCCGAAGTTGCTTTTCCAGGAGGCCTGTCCCCATTCGCCTTGAGATTTCTCTGGCTTTGTGACCTGCAAGTCCTGTCCCTATTCCAACCCTCTCACCTGCCCAACACAGCCAGGTTGGAGGTTCTCTCTGCTCACCTTGTTTACCTGTAAACCAATCATGCCCTCTGATGGAGCTCCAGGCAGACCCTGGCCCTCTGCACAGGCCCCGCCCATTATCCCTGATCATGGACCAGGTGACGAGTCCCCAGCCTCACCCAGCTTCTCTGGGGAGCCTCATCTCTCAGGTGGACTAGGGCAGGCCTGGGGCCCCTTGTTACACTCGTGTAGGCCTAGGCATATGACCTCACGGACACAGATCCCTGCCATTCCACTCCATCCAGCAGGAGCAAGCAGGACCATCCTCAACAGAAAGCCCAAATGGGGCCAGCAGCCGGAACCCTTGGCGCCCAGCCCTGCCAGCCCAGGGGGAGCCTGTGCTCTACGTATCTTTTTCTTCTGTTGGTTGAAGTTGTCAATGATGACGCCGATGAAGAGGTTCAGGGTGAAGAAGGACCCGAAGATGATGAACACAACAAAGTAGATGTACATGTAGAGGTTGTATTCCCACTGGGGCTGCTCTTCATACTAAGGGGGAGAAGTCAGACAGGGAGATCAGACAGGCAGGAGGTGGGCTGGCTGGGGGTGTCCACTCTGTGGGAGAGAGGGGCTGTCCAGAGGAAGGTGTGAGTGTGTGTGTGTGTGGGGGGGGGGGGGGGGGGTGGAGCTGAGAAGCAGATGGTGGCAGGTGAGGAAAGCAGGCAAGCCGGGCTCAGCATGGTTTCTGTCCCTAGGCCATTGGGAGGTTTGAGAATAAGGGGCATCTCTTAGTCTCCTGTGACCTGTCAGTGTGAATGGGTGGTTACAAGGACAAAGGAGAAGCTTGATCTTCCTGGGGTAAGACTTTAAGATTCAAGTAAACTACAGTTTCAAATTCAATTTGAAAGATATTTGAGAACTGTGGGACTCCTTGGGAGACCATTGCCCCAGGGCCAGGCTTGGGCATCCCAGAGAGGTTCAACTGCAGGTTGATGCACGGGATCGGGCCCTTATAGGGTGGGCTTTCAGATGTGGACCCTGATTCTCCGTGGCCAAGCAGCTGGGAGCCTTAAGTGCCTGACTTTGTGGGAGAGGCCAACCTACCCCCCTGGAGTCCACAGCCGCGTACATAATGTCCATCCAGCCTTTAAATGTTGCCTGAAAGGAAAAGACAAGAGTAAGAAAACCACTTAACTCTGCACCGACTGAGCTACGAGGGCTCCTGACTGGATAGGTGAGGCCAGGAAGTGGCCTCCTGCAAGAAGCTAGCAGCCCACCCCACCCCTGCGGCAGGGTCCAAATGGCTAGGTGGTCAGGCAAGGAACTTGTAGTTCAGAGCTGGTTGTGGAGGGGAAGCCAGCTGAGCAGACACCCCTCGAAGGCCACACAGTGGGGAAATAAGCTTCTGATGTTGGCCAAGAGACAAGTGAGGCCTGAAGGAGGTTGGCCCTTCATTCTGTCATTCCGATTCTAAGACACAGAGTCCTACAGCAGGTGTCAGGGACAGAGAGGTGGGGCTTGGGCTCTCTGTCTGGCTTAAGGTGGACCCCAGTGCTGACCTGGTCCCCTTGGTCATGCACCTCAGAGAACCTTGTGGCTTCTGCTCTATGGCCATTCAAAGGAAATCTCTGAAGAATCCCAACCTTCCCTCGTACTTAACGGGGGTCCTCTGCCAGTGGTGTGTGGGTAAATGGCTAACAAATGACTTTCTAGAAGGAACAAAAAGCCCTGATGGTTGCGTTTGTCAATTTCCCTGTGAAAATTCATGGCTGATTGCAAGTTGCCGAGGTGCAGCTACGGAACAGAGTTGGGGAGACATGCACAGGAGCACTGCGTTGCAGGATTCCCACTGTAGGGACATAATAGATGTATTAACCTCAAGCGCACAGACGATACTACATGGTGATGGTGAGGTTTCATTTTGTTTTAATATCATTTAGTTAATTATAAGTATAAGATATAATTTTAAATAACAGCTTGCAAATATCTGGCTGGAGCACACCATGGCAATGAGACAGGGCCTGGTGCCGGTTGCACTGTCTGCCCCAGTCTGGGCTGCGAGGAAGATTCGGAGAGTCCGAAAGACGGGCTCGGTGGGAGACCAACCGCCCAGTGGGTCTCACGTGTGTTCCTGGCAAAATCCACTCCTGCCCCAGCCTCCTTTCGGGGCATGAGTTTGTCCAAATGGTGCACGTCTGAGAGTTTTTATGAGGCAGATGGCAGATGGGGAAACTGAGGCCGCTCCACGGAAGGCAAGCTATTTCAGCCTCTTATGCCACGAGGCCCTCACCTGTCTGGAGGAGCCTGGAGATGCTTTGGAAACTGCTGAGAACTACCCAAGGTTATGAGATGCCTGCAACTAAATGCTTTCCTACCACTGAGTGGTTCTGTCTGGAATGGTAGGCGGTTCTCAGTCTATACCAGGGGCCTGCCCTTCCACGTTCTGACGTTCAGTGGGGCGGTCACAGGGATCGGAGGCTCTCAGCCTGTTCTCCATGAGTCTTTGGGGAGTCTTTGGAGAGCACTACCACTAGGACTTAAGGGGTGGGTGGAGGTCTGTTCCCAGGCGGGAGTCCCGCTGAGTTCTCCTTAGAGGCAGGTGTCTGAGCTGAAGACTGGGATAGCAAGCAAAGCAAGCTGCCGCTTCATGAGTCATGGTTCTGTTTGCATTTCCGTTGTTAAGGCGACTCGTAGGTTCATTTTATGGCATGTCAATGAAAACTCTGGAAAGACTGGGTAGAGCTGGGTGTGTTTAAACCTCACGCATCTTGAACATCGGAGATGGAAGTAGATCTATTCTTTCCAGCAACGCAGGAGATATCACTACTTTTTGTAACAGAGGGTGGCCAGAGCCCCAGTTTTGCTAACAGCTCAGCCCTGGGTGTCTGTGGGCTTTCAATTTCAACCTGTGCCATCACACTGCCCAACTGGCTCCTGGCTGGGAAGGTGGTTCTGCCTTAGTGCCCAACCCCATGCCACAGGTCTCGGAGGATGTGGCCTCTGCTCTGGAGAGGAAAGTCTGGGGACTTCCCAAGGAGCCAAGAAGTCTCGGGGGAACCCTGGCCTCCTTTGGGCAATGTGAGCCGACCGTGAGGATTCAGAGGGGCCCCACTGTCGCCCTCCTGCCCACACCACGTGTGAAGGCGCCTGTGGCTAGAGAACCAGAGGGAGGGAGGAAGTCCCTCCTCCTCCGGGACTTACCACCTGCAGCAGGGCCAGGTACCCAGCCCCCACGTTGTCAAAGTTGACTTTCACCTTGGTCCAGTACAACTCGCCGGTCATGTTGAACGACTCACAGTCACTCTTGTTGTTCACGAGGGTGTAGTTTAAAGGCATGTCCCCCTCCGTCTGGTTGATGCACCTCCCGAACTTCCCCGCGAAGAGGTTCACGCCCATGATGCTGAAGATGAGCCAGAAGATGAGGCAGACGAGGAGGACGTTCATGATGGACGGGATGGCGCCCACCAGGGCATTGACCACCACCTCAGGTGGACAGAGGAGAGACTCAGGCCCTGACGCTAGGAGGCCCTCACCTGTCCGGAGAGGCTTGGAAATGTTCAAGACCCTTTCCCTCCACCCCCAACCCACAGAACGCCCTGGCCATAGGTCCCTGGGGGGAGGGGCGCAGAACATTCCCTGTCCCCAAGGAAGGGCAACCCATCGCTGGAAGCCCAGGTGGGGAGTGAGGGGAGCGAGAAAGAACACACACACTCATCCCTGCACCCTAAAGTCTGATGCAACGCCACAACATCCGCCTTTCCCTTCCCGAATCCATGACCTTGAAACTGCATTTTCAACAGGGTCGTTGACTAGGCCAGAGACTGATGGGAGAGGGCCTCTGGAGATACACTGAGCTAAGTTTCTGGTTTATTTGGGGGTTTGCTGCTACTGGGTTGGGGGTATTCTCCCCTAAAGTGTGTCCCGGGAAGGCAGCCACTCCTCTTACCCTCATGCCCTCGAACCGGGACAGGGCTCGCAGGGGCCGGAGCGCCCGCAATGTCCGCAGCGACTTGATGGGGCCCATCTCCGAGAAGCCCAGGGTGTTGGCCACCAGGCTGATCAGCGAGACCTGTGGAGGCAGGAGGGAGACGTGGAGACGGCCCGGCGACAGACAGACAGGGGGAGCGCTCTCGGCCGCCTAAAACAGGGCTGGGCGTGAGAGGCCCCGTCTTTATGATTCCCGACTGGCTTCTCGGGCACAGGGCGAGCCTTCCTGGGGCCC